CATCCATATTCCAACAGTACTATAACAAGAAATGTTCAGCTGAGAGAGCCTTGACGTGTTTTCCATGCAGGCATTTTAGTTTAGGTTTGTACAAGAGGTAATAAACAGAAAAAAAGGAATATTTACATGCAATTCTCCTCAGTCCTCAAATAAAGCAATAAGGAATATGCAGCGTTTATGCACGCCTTGAAAAACAAACACTGGAATACTGAAAATTACTGAAATTCAGAAATGCAATAATTAGATGGAATTAACGTACATTACCAGACCATTAATTTTTTTCAATGTTTAATGTTTCTCTAAAGACCGAGCACACTTTGAATACAACCAGCATTCATAAACATAGGGCCTGTATAGTTAGGAAAAAATTATAAAATGTATTCAGTTGCTTACACATATGCATGTCTATTCTAGCATATGCTTTATTAAATAAAGTTCATGTCTTTAATTTTTGTAATTCGAAGAGAGTTTAATATACAATAAAATAAAAATATAATAAATAAAATGCATTTAAACTATGTTTGCATTCCAGGCAAGTGTCTAAGATAAGTGTTTTCCCCCTGATTAAAAAATAAATAAATAATAATTAGCCTATATTACCTTGGGCTAAACATAAAAGTTAATGCTCCCTACTTTGTGTGGCCTGTTGCTTGCTAGAATGAAGAATGTCTTAACTGGTTATTCTTAATTGATACTGAACATTATGACATTTAAAACTTCTAATGCACGTGTAAACTACTTGACATGGGCCTATAACACAAGTGACAGTGCGTAAAAAAAGACACTGAGTGAAGGAAACAGGGACCGCCGACGCCAATTCATGAGCGTCACTTAAAGGTGTGCTTGTTTGTTTGGTCTAAGGTGAACTCTGTAAGCTTGAACTCAAAACAGTATGTCACAGTCACACTTAAATGGCACACTGGATTTGCCGCAACAGTCTGACAGCCTCGCTGTATGTCAGCACTGTAAACAGTTAACGAGTTTGCGCAATCAGTCTGTGATATCTGTCCACGGCTGCGAACATTAATTCCGTGGTTGTTATACTGACAAAAAAACAAGTATACCGCGGAATGCCATGAGATAAGATCGTAAAGTGCAGTGCTGTTGCCAAAGTCGCAGACCTCATAACGAGCGACGTGGTTCGGCATATCTTACCCCGCTTAGTCTGCAGGCAGAGCGTTAGCCCCCGTGCAAGCCCTTCGCAGTTGAACACTGTCAGAAACAAAGATGAAAACATGTAAGCCCCGAAGGCCTACTGTAAACACTGTCGCGGTACTGCTTCACCAATGCGCCGTTCACAAGATGGAACGAAAGAGCGAGTCGTGGCATGGAGACGGACGCACGCAGGAGCCCAACGCTGTGCGCGTGGAGTCTGATGTCAGCACGCTCAGCTGGGGAAAAGCAAATAGCTCTTGCGCCTCGCACTGTTGCTTTCGCGGTATTGCAGCCGAACTTGCCGCTTTAGCGGTTTTGATATTGGAGAATACTTCACATACATCTCATATGAAATGTATTATCCGTATTCTGAGTAGATTCGGTGTGCTATAAGCTGCAAGTATTGTAGAATCGAAAAACTAGTGTCACGATCAACTTTTTACAGGGTTGTTAAATTAAGTGTGTATGCGATGTAAGATGCACATGTGCTTTATTATCTTCCTTATGTCACTGTAGTTTCTCCTAGGCTCTTAAAGTTGTTGTTTTTTTTATGTTTTTGTTCTTTCTTTATTTTTGTTTTACCATATACATTTTATCATGCGAGTTCTACCAAAGTGGGATGTGTCAAAGAGCCCAGAAGGCCTTCACTTGTCTTGTTAACGAATGATACCTAAAATTAATTTTGGGGGGACACAAAACAAGATAAGATGCTTTGTTGAATTTACGGTGATTCATTTAACTACCATTTAAAAGGAGACTAACTTATTTAATAAAAAGTTGTTAGTGTTTAGAAAAGCGTGATTAAGATGTTTATCATGTTTGATATGATCAAATGGTTTATAGAGATAAGATGTGTAGCCTGCACGTGTCATGTTATCACGTGTACACTCGGACTGTGTCATGTCTTCATTTTCTGATTAATTTTAAGTGGTTGTACCCTGTAAAGACTAAAGAACAATTTCGTTAAACTCATATTTTACATTGTAGTTTAGTGTAATTTGGTCGGTGGGCGGTCGAGGGCAGCGCTGTTTCAGAACCATGGACAGTAACCGCCGAGTCTCGTCACTGCCTTTCTAAGGATCGATCCGTTTCGAATTTTGTCTTTAGTAGTGTGCCTGTGTAACCTACAAGTAATAAAGAGACTTGTAACTCCACCTCCACACTTCTGATATATATTTTTTTTCTTTTTACTAAAACATTTTATCAAAAGCTTTTTAATCCCCATGTTATGTCAATTCACTTTCAATAAAATATTTATTAATTAATTACTTTCTTTCATGTTTACCCTTTAAGGACAAGCGTCTCCTCTTTTAAATCCATTTAACCTTTTTTATGTTCGACACATTCGTAAATAGTCAACCCTGTTACAATGATTTTTATAGTAATCATCTCATTATTTAAAAGTAGATTTTTTCTACTTTTATTTTTTCTAACAAACACCTTGTAGTGTCATGACCTTGCACACGCTAAATGAGCTGTAAAACTGTCAACCCTATATTACAACGTCATAATAGTTTTCCTGATATAACTTGAAATGCATGGCACAATGCACCACTTTAACACTTAAAGACATTCTTTGTCTAATAGAATGTACAAAACAAATTTTACATTTCATTTATATCTTAATTATTTTATTTTTGTTTATTTATTTAATTATTTAATTAATTTATTGGTTAGGCCAAAGCTCAGTTTATTACAATGTTATCTTAAGGAAAGCATTCAGCATCCTACAAATAAGCAGTAAAAGCTCAGCAAAGGCCAGTTTATGAACTATCACCACTGTGCCTTGTGCAAAATCATAATCCCAAGTTACTCCAATTATGGGACACTGGTACTGTACACTGTTGTGTACGGTGTACTGTTCTTTAATTTAAAATGAAATACATTTAAAAGTTTGAGGGACTACAACTTGTGGTATTTATTACCCATGATTCCTCGCAGTCATCTTACATGTTAGAAAGTTGTTGTGGCTCTGTCTGCGTGCGCACAGAACAGCAGATGTCGCCCTTAGTGAAGTTGTAGCTACGCTCCTTTGCAGATATACAGGTTCAGCCTTCATTTAGTTAATGATTTATATATCGTTCCTAACCTGTTAAAGTCAAATATTGATATTTATCATCTCCTTTTAAACATTCCGTGTCTACCAACACTGTGTGTCTATCAATGCTTTACCATCTAGCGCACATATTTTGCGTTTGATGCACTCTGCTGCTACATTCGTGATGTTCCTTCATTTAATTTGTAAAAAATGTTCTCATTCGTCCAGGCATCAGCAATGCAGCAGATACCAGATGTAGCCTATGGATTTGATGCAACGCCTCACTATGATTTCTCTCTCTCTCTCTCTCTCTATCTGAGGCAGAACGGCGAATGTGACCTGAATGCAGGGCATGATTTAGTAATGGAATAAGACGCAAAAGTCATTCAAAGCTCATTCACTCGCACTGTTAGCCGTCGCGCTCAAAGCAGCGCAAACCACTGCGGTGCTCTAACGATTTACAGGAAGATTTGAGTCGGGCGCTTCCCTGCGCCATACATTCTGGTGTTTGTTTTTTCTTTTATTCCCCCACCCCCCCCCACCGACCCTTTTTCTTTTTTCTTTTTTCTTTTAAAGAAAAAAAACCCCGATGAGGATTGGCGATGGGAGAGATCATGGATTGACCATTTTTCTCGGGGTGTCGGAGACTAAAGACGCACACGCCGGCGCATGGGCGTTCGTTTCAGCACCCCAGCCGTGAATCTGCCGTTTGTGCGGGGAATTTTGCCCTGATAGATCGGGGTGGCGGATAGCGACGGGGCGCGAGGGATACGGCAACAGCGTTTTGTCACTACGAAAGCGGACTCTTACAACGTTTGTGCTGAGGGGATATCGAAAGTAGCCCTAAAAGTTTGCTGCAGCATTTCACATTCGACTGCAGTGGAAGATACTCAGCAGCCAGTAGCGAGTAGGGCGCTCACCACTGCAATTTCGGGGCAAAGACTGACTGGCGGCGTCTTGTAGATACCTGCTCGTGTCTTCGGAGGAGGCAGCGTCCACGACTTTCCCTGCATTTTACGCTGCGCTTCGGAAGAATGCAGTTGAGGGATCTGTATTAAACCAGCAGCATTACGCCGTTTCCGGTTCCCAGCTGGTGATTTCAGATTGCAAATCTATCGGAAAAAAGCAGTGGATCCCGATGGCATGGACACTTACGCAAGGTCTGCCGCGCCGCCGTGCTACTGGAGCATATTCGCAGTCTCTTCAGCCTTCAACCCAGCTCCGCCGCCATCGCCCCACAGCCCTGCCGCAACGCGACCACCGACCATCGAGCCAAAGCAGGCGGCATGAGGAGGCTTGATTCGGTACACTTATCCATGCTGCTCATCGGGGTCTCCTTCGCCTGCTACTCCCCGAGTCTGAATTCCCTGCAGGACCAGGCTTACAAATCCGCCGTGGTGATTGAGGGCAAGGTGCAGTCCGCGCCTCAGAACGTCTCAGCGGAGCCGTACAGTGTGGATGTCAAAGTCCTGGACTTGTGGCCGCGAAACAGCGGGGGTCTGGAGCGGGATCAGCTCGTCACCGTTGGGGAATTTGGCTCGGAGGCTCCGTGCACCAAAGTGAAGAAGAATCACATGTATATATTTTTCATGGACCCAACTGATGAACCCTTGGTTTTCAAAGCATCGTTTGCGCCCTTAGATACAAGTGGGAAGAACCTGAAAAAAGATGTTGGGAGGATCTTGTGTGAAAACTGCGGTAAGTTTATGCCCACAAAATGCTTGTGCAGGCTCTTGCAAATTGACACATTGACCGGCGGCTTCGATTGTATGCTTATTTGTGGTGCGGATGACATCCAAATGTTTAGTGTAAGTAACAGATGGGGGCTTGTGGGGCGTCTCTGCAGCAATATTGGGCAGGAATAAAACGCTTAAAGGTTTTTCATGCTATCTTCAGACATATGCAAAGACATATGCTGTAGTAACACGCGCGCTCGCTGCTCATTTGTAGGATACCGAATTCTTTCCTCAAGACAAAATTGTAATAAACTGAGCTAGCAGTGTTCATGGCGTAACCATTAGACCGGGCCCACAGCTTGTATGCTCGGATATGAAAGGGTATAGAAGGTCAGAACGACTCAGAATATCTTCTAAAAGTGGCCGTCAGGACCTAAAGCTCATTGCTCTGTTGGAATAGAAAGTTGCTGGTCTGCGCTTGTGTAATGGGCCTTTAGAACAACTGCACTGGGAGTGGAGCCTTTAAAACTCCACTCAGGACGCAGGGAATATCTTCCAGCCAACAGTTATGTCACCTGTTTGCACGCCGCATTCCTATTATCTTTTTATAATAAGAAATTAAAATTGTTCCCATCATTTTTCTTCATGATGGCATATTCCTCGAAAGCACATTTTAACCTTCAGTTATATGTTATAGCCTAGGCTACTTTTGATTCAAAGCGGCAACTCAAATCCCACTCTCACAATTGCAAAGAAAAGAAATGACACTGCATCTTTTCTCAGTGTTGTGACATAACTAGAAGGTGCTACCATTCTGTCAGTCATTAAGTTTCAGGACACCGTGTTTACCACAGGCCTATTGTCAGAGGGCTTCTTCTTGTAACGCGTTTAGATTGTCGCTGTCCAGGGTGCTGTACCGTCCTCTCCTCTTCGTATGAACGAGTACGAGAGAAACACTTCGTCTAAAAGAATGAGAATGGAAATATGCTGTTTATGTAACGTGCATATGTTAATTACTAAATTTTTAATTTCCATGAGTAACTTTTTTTCTTAGACATAATTTCTCATTCTTTGCTAGTCACTATCCCAGTGCAAGTAGCCTAACTATTCCATTGTTAACAATTAAAAAAATGTTGTCTATGGTAATTAAAATACAAACTGTTCACTTCTAAATATGAATTCCAATTGTTGCTGGTAGTTTTACTAATTCATTTTGTGCACAAACTAGCACGTATTTATTACACACTAGTGTCTATTCCATTTTTAATGGTGCTAGAAAGATTTCGAAATGACTATTTTGAATGCCTACTTTGTAGTGAAATATACAACAACTAAAAAAGGAACTGTAACTAAGGTGACTTTACACAACTTCTTTTAAGGCTGCTCTGTGCCTGCGCAAAGCCGCATAAAAGCCAGGCTAAATTATGCTTGCTCAGACCCACCTCAGCCCTTAGTATCAAAATAAACAATTGCTGTGTTTAATGCATTTATGCTACCTCTGAGCAGCATTAAACAGTCTATGTAAAGACACCTAAATGCCACTTCAGAGTTGCTTCTGTGCCACTTTTGCAGTGTAAATTTGGCACTAGAGAGCTGATGAATCTAACGTGTCTCATTAATTGGCTCTAGCATCTAATAAATTAGCACTAGCCTATACTATAGGTACTAGTAATGATTGAAATGATTTGAAAGGGTAGAAATGAGAGATTGAGTTCTTCTGAAGATAGTGATGAAAAAGTACAAGAGTCTAATAATGTGTTGACAGTGAAAAATATAATTTAATTTGTAGTAATTAAGGTGATGTAAGCATCACTAACTAGTTTTAAGGAATAAATGTTAAAACACTTACTACAATATGCTAGCACATGCAGCTTATGAGAGCATAGCAGACGGAGGCCTTGAACCAGAACTATCGTTTTGATTTTTCTAACCTCATCAATAAATTGAGAATCTTTTCCCACGGCTTCTTTTCAAAGATCAATGTGTGCTCGCTTGATGACTTTGCAGTGTACTCTCACAAGTGAATCTAACCTCTGCATTGAATTAACTTGTGTTGCAACATCATTATTTAAACCATTTGCTTTGCGATGAGACTGCAGTCTGCCATTCACTTACAGAATTTTGTTCTGTTCCGCATGATGCTTAAAGTGAACATACATGTTTGACCTGAAAGGGGTCTGCGAAAGATAATGGTCACGATCTGACCTCCACTGGCATGACTGCATGTCTCTATGGACAGAGTACGATTCAGACAGGAAGGCACAAGCTTTTCAAATATGTCAGGTCTGACGGTTGCCTCAAGTTTTGTAGATAAAAATATGTTTCTTCTTGTGTCCCTAATGGCTCAGCCTAGATTGAAAGCCTGTAAATGCAGGTATTTTGAAGAGTTTTTCTTGACTTTTTGTAGAGGGAGACCTACATATTACCCATGAGGAGTGAAAGGTGGGTGGGTGCCGTTGTGTAGTGTGTTACTCCTCCAAAATGTGTTTTGCAATAGATATGTAGTTAATTATGATTTTAAAATGATGACAGGGAAGTTTGTAGTATTTGATGTTCCTCATGATGTGTGATCCTGTCTTTCTCTTCCCCCTGTGTGGAGGTCACAGCTGCATTGAGGTGGCAGTCCAGAATATGCCGGTGGCTCAATATCATTGATTCGAAAGAGCTCTCGGGCAAAACTGCATGACACAGGACAAGAATAACAGCTGGTGATTGACATACACAGAGGGAAGGACTTACTTCATAGATGCATATGTTTTTTTAATAACTATATAAGGTCAAATCTAAAACGTGAAGGATTTTTTGGCCAGACCAAACGTAGAGATCCTGTCATAACAAAATCCTTGTGGATTCCTGAATGACATGGATAATTTACCTCAGTAAAATAATGCATGATTCAAAAGGCTGTAACAAGTGAACTGCCTGAGGAGATTTAGTAATAATTAGCCACATATCTCAGCTACAAGCTGGATTCGGCTCTGAGAAGGAAATTGATGACTGCTGTCCTATTGCTGGACATTCAGGGTGGGTTGTCATCATTTTAAATGGGGTAATGGCCATGTTAAAACACTAGTTTTATAAACTTGGTCATATTTAGGATACTAAAGCTGGATTATGCACTCTCTCCAGCATGGCCCACTTTTCCATAGATCCAAGAAAAGAAAATCTCTCTCTGCAGCTCGCCCACACATATTCCCTTCAGACAAACAGGCCTTAGCTCAGAATGCTTTTCATGAGCTGGACACAAGCAATCGGTGAAAACCAGCCAGTTTTGTTGCATTCGGATTATAAAACAATCCAATATTGATATGGTTTAGTAAGAAATTGTTGGAAAAAAAGTGCAGTTTGGCTGAAATGCAATAAAGCATCATCTTGCCTTAAAGGGATAGTTCATCCGAAAATAAAAAGTCTGCCATCATTTAATATCTCAGGTTTTTTTTTGTCCATGCAATGAAAGTCAGTCGGATCTAATGTTGTTTTGTTCCCCACTGACTTTCATTGTATGGACAAAAACAGTTTAAACACTCTTTAAATGATCTTATTTAGTGTTCTTAAAGGGATAGTTCACCCAAAAATGAAAAGTCTGCTATCATTTAATATCTTTGATGTGTTTTGGTCTCCACTGATTTTCATTGCATGGACAAAGAGAGTTGAAACACTTTAAAACATTCATTGTTTATGTTCTTAGAAGGATAGTTCCCCCAAAAATGAAACTTCTAAAATAAGCTATTCTGAAGAAAGTTGGTTGCCAATCAGTCAAACAGTTTTGGTGACCACTGATGTCCATTTCTCATACATATTATTATATTATATTATATTATATTATATTATATTTTTTAAAACGTGCCATGATTTATATCACAAGACTTCATGTTACCATGTACATTCTCTTATTTAAAGAAGCCGGTCTCTGCTGGGATAGGTTTTGTTTTACTTCAAGCACAATAATAACTATTTCAGGCCTGGAGCGATGCAATATGAGCCACATATAGTTTGCATCTGAAATGCAATTTGATTGATTAAAACTGGAGATCAAAAATTAGTACGTCTTGTACATTTGCAGTTGTAAATTAGGTTTTCAGGAAAACTATCTACTGTAGTTTTATGAAGTAGGTTTACATTCCTATGTAGAAAAAAGCAATTAATTCTTAATAACATAATTCATAGTTATGTTTCTTCAACATCAATTTATGGCAGCTGAATAGCCTGTCCATGTGGTCCGTCCCTTTGAGCACCGGCTGTTGAATGACTGCTGTGAGTGACTCTCGGGTGAAAGCAGCGGTGTGAATCGACTGACTGAAGGTGGAATATCGAAGATGGGCTTCCCATCAATCCTGGTCACGCATGATGATAAATGTTTGTGTAGGTTGCTCTGCATCCTCCCTCTTGAGATAGATTCACACACTTCATCGCTGTTGTACGGAGCGTAGGGCTGACATGAGACATATGAAGCAGGCCTCCAGTGGTCTCCAGCATGTCAGCTGTACTCCGGGACACATGTTGTTACCTAGACTTAAATACTGCATGATAATCGCTTTCAGCTCCCAGTCCTGCTCTCTGGATCTGCGTATTTCAGCAGTTTGCTTCAAATTTGGTATGTTTAGATGGAAGGAAATCAGATTATTCTTATGCAGGATAAGAGCCATTGCTTGATTTATATTGCAAAGAGTATCTGTCTGATTATATAATTTACGGAATATAATTTTTTTAAAATATTTTGAAAGCATACAATATAGAATTTGATTTTTCTTTTAAAATTTGAATCCTATCTGCTTGAAAACTGTTTTTCACGGCCGCGGTAAATATTGCAATTGCACCTCTCTATTGATGGGTGTTCAAAGGTAACCATGTGTTCAGACTAAAGAAATTGCTAAATTTTTTTATTTAAAATCAATGTTTAATAAAAAAAAACACAATTTAAAAACATATTTAAATGATGAATAATTGTTATTTTATTTTATTTTAGAGTTGAGGCTCTAAAAGTCACCATTAAATCAAATCGACAATTCTTATTTTTATTTT